TCCCGTTGTTGGGGTTGCAGTTGCTTGACGGGAAACAGGGGAAACCAAAGCGGACCGACCATTTCGCGGCTTCCCCCTCCAAACCCATTTTGAGAGAATCCCATTTGCAACATGCAAGAAACCCCAAGACCGTAACACGAGTTGCCACATGTATTTTTGGAACCAACAACTATCCCAGTGTCCAACTCTGCCTCTTTGGATTTGACCGGGCTTGCCTCACCACTGTCGTGAAGCTCGTGGTACAGACCTGGGAAACCGCGTCCGATCAATGCAACAAGAAAACAAGTCGCATAGCTTTGGCCCAGGAAAAGAATAGACTCGCAAGCGCCCCATTTCAGAGGTCCTTCGCTGTTGGGGGAAACATGTTCTTTTTCATGCGCCGGGTTGATTGAGCCGGAGCTTCCATTCACGACCACAGCTGGCCAAAAAAAGAAACGCTTGCTTGAGCCGCGGACGAGTCATGTCTGCCTGCGCCGGGTTCATTGACGCAGCATTGAGAACTGAAGATAATATCTAATATTGTGTTCATAGAGGATCAATTCAGAGCAAATCAAGTGCATGGCAGGTCACCTGACCAACCCCCAAGTATGTGTAGCATCATCGCCAGCACATTCAATGCTTTCTAAAGGCCTGTTCTCGGTACGTGCGTCTGAAACTGTCTCCAGCCTTTGATGACCCTGTTGCTTCCAGCAAGGCTGCCTGGGCATGGCAAGCCCAACTTGCAGCTCAGAATGCGTATAAGCAGAGTGGTGAATCATCTTGGTCGAATGTCTGGGGTAAGTTATCCGAGGGGAATATGCGTACATGAATGTGCCAGGATTTTGCACCTCCATAGCAGCCCTTCATAAATCAAACCGCGTTCGGGAATTCTGCGCTTCCACAGTGGGCAGGAACATAGGCTGCAACAAGCAGAATTAATTGACGTGGGCAGGCGGAATCTCGCGCTTTCTTCTAATGCCCAGCCTCTGCATCCATCACTACACCCTCCCCTGGGGCCTCTGACTTGCTGACTTGTGACCGTGCACCCAGGACCCTGGCCGATGGAGAAACAACCTCGCACTCGCTGGCCACAACCCAGGCGCCCCTGCAGTGATGGACTTGTGCGGCAGGCTCAAGGGCTTGCCCTCCGCCCAGTCTGGACGAAGCCTAGCCATGGTCAACATTTGCGGGAAATTCCGACCCTCCCGCTCATGTGTGGTTTCTGCCTCTTGAGGAGTCGCAACCCGAGTGCTTGTTAGTCCTGGGCCCAATGAGCCGACCGACCGGGCATTCTAGCAACCAAAGCTGGGCCTCCAAGCCGGCAGAATCGCCTGGAGGTTCCAATGTTGAGGGCTGCTTCTTGGGATCTGGGAAGGTTTTGACACACAAAGCTGGCCGGCTGGTATTGCTGACTTGTGGAATTGTGGTCCAGTCAAAATATGTGGTCGTCCGTAGTCAACTACCCTGCAGGGAGCTTTTACCAGACCTCCTTCAAGGACGCAGCCCAACGATGAATACTCCTAGAGCCCAGGCTCGAAGCGCCGCGCCTGTGCCCACCGGCTTGCGCATCTTTGGCGGGGGCAAAGAGATAGCAGGAGGCTTCAACCTTCCGCGAGCGGAAGGAGCTGCAGCTCCACAAATGCACTTGTGCGGGCCCGATCTTGTACGACTCCATTCATGTTGGACCTCCAGTTGTAATTGGGGCCTCTATTCTAGAACGTGTTTTCCTAATTCAGGATTCTGTGACCGTTTTGGGGTCTTCTATTTAGGAAAGTGCTTGACCAGGAACATATTCCCGGAAGAAAACCCCCGGGCAATAAACACCAGGCCAACAAAAACCGGGCAAATAAATCCGGGCAAACATTAGGAATTCGTTTTTCAAACAAGTAAGGGCAACCAGCCACGCAAAGGGGGTTGCCCATAAGAGGCCCTCCTCTGTGACTGTTTTGGGGTCTTCTTTAGTGTCCATGGTTTGTGGGAGTTGCTGAAAAACTGACCCTTCCCAGCAACATTAGAATTGGCAATACTAAATAATTCAGTACTGGGAATCTGAGAGTAAGTCTGAACAACACTTGGACGACTACACTAAGTACTGGGAATCTGAGAGCAGGTCTTGGCAATACTAAAAGTAAGTCCTGGGAATCTGAGGATACGTCTTGGCACTACTAAATATAGCCTTGGCAACACGGAAGTAAGTATTAGCAAGTCCAGGTCGCACACAGACCCCCAGGATTTTCACCAAAGAGGACTGCGGTGACTGACTGTTGAGGAGGGGAAGGATGATTGAACATTGCAAGCCAAGTGAACATGCCTAAAGAAACATTGCTTTCGGCGCGTCAACTAGCTGATTTTGAGGTTTGGCAGCAGCTAATCATGTCGTGCTGTCAGGACAACATGTCATCAACCGCAAAGCCCGACATTCACTTGCCTTTTTCCTGAGTGCTGAGCCTTGACTGAGCTTGTCACCTACACAGGGAGCTGAAGCTCCAGCCTGAGTTGGTCAGTTGATCTGGATTCAAGACAATTGTCGGTGTCTCGCTGGTTGCTGCGGAATACCGCGCAGTGATCGCAGTCCCAAGTGAGCGCCAAACCGAAAGGAGAGCTTTACATACCACAAAGTATTGCGCTACATAATTGCGAGTCAGACACAAACTCGTAAGATCGTTTCCCCTCTGCAACTAGGCTTCTAGCCAGGTGTCCAAGGATCTGCTTGGACCGCACTACTTAGCCCCAACGCACTATTTACGGTATACACGAGCAAGGGTCTATGAAACATTCAGCCGCAAGACACTGCTCAGCACAGCTTGAGGTCATTTGTTTTACTAAATCACGGCTTCGAGGACGACATCCTTGAGACTCATACCATATCCACAGAATTTTGAACGAGTGTGCGCGACACCCAGACTCCCACCCCTGCCTCCCCAGCCGGCGCCGACATTGCCAGCATCACGCGGAAGGCGTTGGTAAGGATGATTTCCTGGCTGGCAAGTACTCCAAACCGGAGTTTAACCCCTGGACTCGGGGCTCCTGAGGGCAAAACCGACGAGAGGGTCCTGGAATTAAAGGGCTACCAAGAACCATGAAAGAACCAATAAGGCAGCAGCTGCGTATGTTCGGGACTGTCACCTACTTCACCGCAGCCATTCAGGTTTGATTGTGTGTTGAGAGTGCGCATGCAAACTTCTGGAGGGCCCTCCTACGCGTGCTGGGCAATTGCAACCCTAACGGCACTCTGCAATCAGCAAGGTACAGTAGTACTTCGTTGGCTCAGCGGTCCCTTTCGTCAAAAGCAAACAGTTGCTTTCCAGAATCGATGCTTTCCTGCAAACCAACATTACAAGACGGCTCAACAACTCAAAACATCTCTTTCAACCCTGGGCTCGTGAAGCCAAAGGCCCAACAACTCATTGGTCTGCAAAAATGCCATGGGATATTTGGCTGTGGGTCAAAACCCTGTACCCCATGCTGAACATCAAAGTAGGTGGCAAATGGATGTTCACCCACCCCGAAATGGGATACCATTGGTTCTGCCCCATGGCCATTTGAAGAAACCACACCCAACGCGGGCTGCGACTTGCCGGCATCGCATCGCGTCGCTTGCCTTGCTGAGGCGGCTCCGCGTGGCTTCAAGCGCCTCGAAGGCGCCAGAAGCGACATGATCCGCTTGGCCAATCCAAGGCGGATGGTCCAATCGAGAGGACACAAACAGATATTTCCATGTACCATGTATGCAGGCTATGCTCTGTATAATATATATATATATATTATGACAAATAGATTCTATTTGTCATATGGCCCTTTGGTGGCTGGTTGCGATACTCTGGCCACAACCAATTGTTGCATTGTCCAATAAGATTGGGGTTCAGATCGGAGCTTCATATCGTGTGCGGTTTATTCATTCAGCTGTTCACTCATCCCCACACTACTGCTGCCTCAATTAAAGTTGCGATCGGGCATCTCGTGAAGAATGCAAGCGAAGCACTAATGTTGCAAATTACTTGTGACGGCTCTTCTGCCCTTCAATATTGCGCTTCGTTTGGTAAGCTGGCGCTGCTGGCGCTGCTGAGCGTACATGCCCGTGTCATTCAGGTCCGACAGTTGTGCGAACAAACTGCCGTCCACAACCAAAATCCACAAACTCCGCAAATGGGGGATTGTCAACCTGTCGGGGTTCGTTCTTGGGCCCTGCTGTCGCCTTTTAAGGGAGTCCAACAGGGGGGTCCGAAATTTTGTCCGCATGCTTACCATTTTGTCAGCCTAAATTTCTTCAGTTCCCAGTCCGCATCCAAGCTTCCCACATCGAGTGCAGCTGCCAGGTGCCGGTAGGGCACTGCTCCGGCGTTTGCCCAGCCTGGGATCGAGGTGGCCGTAGTGGCGCGGCACGGCACCTTTTTTGCAGGTAGCCAGGGGCAAAAACACAACTACACACACACACATGGCCATGGGTCAAAATCCAAATCGCGCCCCCAAGGAACATCCCAATCCGACCACTAAAATATGTCCTAAAATGGGTGGTGAATTCACCTAGCCCAAAATGAGACCACTGGGTTTGACAAACACAGCCATATGATTCTCGCATGATGACTGCATTTGGCTTTTAAGCCGTTGGGTTGTCTTGGTAAACTAAAGGCACCACACCCATTTTCGTTGGGGTTCCCCTGTTCGGAGACATGTTGTGCCTATAGGATCCGTTCCCTTTGTCCCCTTTAAGACTAGCAGGACAGCCCGAAAAAGTGTGCCCTCAAGAAGACACACCAACTGTCGGAAATGTGGTGGCTCCTGGCACTGGGTCATGCCTTCCTAAGGGCTAACAGGAATATTGAAAAAGAATGCGTCTCAGAAAGGGAATTGCTGCGCCACTCTAACTCAACCTTGAGGTCGAACCATTGCTCCGACCGGACCAAAATTGACATGGATTTCCGCTTAAAGCAACCCTGGAACGAGGTTTTCTCTCAACAACACGGCACCCTCCACTGCGTTCAGGGTGGTTCGTCCGGCAAACCCCATCGAGTCAAGCGACAGCCCTGTGGCTTGAAGCTCTCGCAGGGCGTGGCCAAGTCGTTGGCCTCTGCGCTCCATGCCGGACGTGAGCAACCAACAAAACCCTGATCCTAGGAGCTAAATATGAGGGCCTTGGACCCCCAAAGGCCTCGATATTTGAGGTCTTGGGCTCCTAGGGTGACCTAATTGAGGATTCCAATCGGCGCCTCCCCTTCCAGGGGTATAATCAATCCTTACAATCATGGAAGTGGCCGGTCGGATTTTCAACGAATCCTCTTGGAACGGCCCCGCGCCCAGTGTTGGAGAGAAGGTATTCCTTTTCAAAAGGAGACGGGAAAATTGGGCGCGTGGTGGGGCAAGATTGGGCCAATGGGCCGAAAGGCAGGCTGGTTCAAGGAGGAAGGGCCAGGCTCTCCTGCAACAACCTTTCCAGCAAGAGCACCTTCAACTGGAGTATGTCCATCTTCACGTAGGAATCACGACACTGCAAATGCCCGTGCTTATGTGGCCGTGTTCATCCTCCACTCTTTGCTGGAAATCGTTCTGGGTGCTCCTTCTCTTTGGCTAAAGGAATCAGGTGTCCGGCACGCCTCTGGGGGCGGCTCTGCTGGCGGTGGCAGTGGTGGGTCCTCACCTAGGCCAGCTGAAGCAAAAACGGAGCACTAAAAGGACTTGACAACTACACCACACCCGAAGCATGTACACTGGGGGGGACCCTTTGGTGGGCCATGATGATTCGTGCCCCCAAACCATCCTTGAAGCTGCGCGCCATCAAATTCGCCGCCACGCGAATGCCAGACAAGCTGCAAACCAAAGATCATGCCGACATCCAGGAACGCCGCGCCAACGCTGCCCGACACTGGAAACAACTCATGACCTGGGCTCCGGGCTAGGCGCTCTCGCCTTCTTGAAGAAGCTGGAGATGCCCGCCTTCGGCTCCTTCGGCTCCTTCGGCTTCGGCTCCTTCGGCTCCTTCGGCTCCTTCGGCTCCTTCTCCTGGCAGAGGCGTTGGGGCCAACTGCCTGGAGGCGGCGATGAGAAGCAGGTCCAACACACCCTGACTCGGTCCGCAGGTGCTTCAAAGCGTATGGCGCCGATGGCTTTCGCAGGCATTGATGGTGAAGCAAACGTCACACCGAACTGATCAAGCTGTGCGAACATTTCCACGCCTTGCCTGGGTTACTCAAAAGTGGCACGGGGGGGATCCTGCATCCTGATCCTTCTCCCCTGGTGAGAACAAGGGAAAACACCATCTGGCACAAACCCATTGCTTCTTTGTGGCCCCTTGGCCTGCTCCGTCTTTGGCCGCTTCCTGGCATGTCTCCATGGCGAGAGTCGTACTTAAAAGCAAGGGCAACCGCTTCCTTTGCATCAGAAACGTCTTTCACTGGCCCTGTCTGGCCTATTTGAAAGGCAGAACCCCACAAGTATTCAAAAAGAGACATGCAAGCTTAAGCATTCCTGGGGCTAGATACCACGCATGAATTCGCTCTGGTAAGGAAGTATTCCAATCTGAGCCACCAGCGCCGCTGACTGGCTTTGTTGGGTCCATCAAATAAGCTAACCTAAAACCCGGTCTTAAAATATACCAGAAGAAACTATATTGGCGGCCATACTTCTTATGGCCGTAAAATTGCCCCCTATCCTCCAAATACCCACGCTCTGGTTTTGGCTCGAGCGAGCGTCACCAGAATCAGCACGAGCACAAAACAGCCAAAAGCAAAACCGCACAGCTGAAGGCTGAAGCTTCTTCTTCTTCTTGAGTCCATTCCTTTTGGGGCAACTCCTTGCCTAGGTGTCCTGCGGAACAACAATATATCTATATGAATCCCATGGAACATGAAGAATAGAAACCAAAATCGGTGGAACCCATTTACGTTCCACGATTGATACCAAGATTTGATGCTGGGCTGAGTGGCTTTCCCTTTCGCAACCAACGACGCCTTTGCGTATTTTGTTGTGACTTTCCGCGCCTGGGCGGCTCGAGCAGGGAACTTCCACAGGTGTCGCAGCGACTTTGGCTGGCACCACCTCGGTTGCACGGCTGGGGCCGACAGCGGCCAGGGTTGCGCTTCTGGAGACATATTCTCACCGTCCCGTGGTCGTGAAGGGAAACCAAACCAACACTAAACTTCTGTAGTCCGTGTCTGACTCCTGATGAGTGATGCCTGCAACTTGCTTGCATTGCAAATCATATCTTTTTCCGCATTGGCTCAAAGAGACACGCGCTCCATGAATCTGCAAGCGCTTTGTGGGCACAAAGGCTGCAACTGATGCAGCTGTCTGCACTTCATGACCCATGAAAAACGAGCATTGCAAATTGGTCACGTGGGTGCGTTGGGAACACAAAACGAGTCTTGCAGCTAGTGGGTCGAACCAGCCGCATCGCATCGCGGCTGCAGACTGATGTGGGCCAGGGCCGTTTCAAACAATTTTCCTCAACCACGTAACTTGGGGCCGGGCAAATCACCGTACAGGCGGGGCAGCTTTGCGCAGGCTTTGTCGCAGGCTGCGGCGCAGGCTTCGCAGGCTCACCTCTCAAAGCCGAAACTTCCACAGAGGGCACTGTGGAGAACACCCCACGCACCAGTTGGTAATTAGGTGGGTTTGCGCAGTATTCACAGGGTTTTCATTCATGCCCAACTGGTACGGGAATTTTTGTCCATCCACAGTATGTGCCACAACTCGCGGCCCCTGGAAGTGACATAGAATCAAGGGAAGTTGACTTGCTATGTTCGGGGCAACAACAAATTCACGGAACCATCCAGAAACAAACTCTTTATGCTAGACACGCAGTTGGCGCAGCCTTTGGGAAACGTGGGAAACTCCTTGACCAGTCATCCCCTCGCAGAAAAGCGAACTTGGCTCTGGATGAAACTCATGGAGTGTTGACATTCCCGCACCAGAAAGCATCCTGAGCTCCATGAAGGGGCTCGCGGCCAAAAGATTCTTGTCTCAGGTGCTGGTGGGCCTAAGTGTTGAGCCTGACACAAGCACGTGTGGGAGTGAACCGGATGGTAAAACAGCATCAAATGGGTATGGGTCAACCACCAGAAAACCGCAGGTCTTAGTCCATGTTTCCATGTATCAGGGTTCCATTTTGGGTACCTATTTTTGACCTACAGCCAAATGTTCAAACGAGAATGGGCCATTGATTTATCAGCTGGGCTCCAACTATATACCTCGCGAGGCCGACGCGAAGCCTCCAGGCTGCGAATCTTCATCCAAATCGATGTAGGCCGAACTGCTCAAGCTCCTGCGAAGCCGCGCCCGGCGCCCGGCGAAATGGCTGTGGGTCAAAACCAATGCTACGATTTTGGGGCGGGTGTACCACTGATTTTAGAACCTATTTTAGTGGGGATTGGGATGTTCACTGGAGGTACGGGTTTTTGACCCATGGCCAAATGGGAAATCTGGACCGGAAAAGGGACACCTAGAAGATCTTATCACTGCCCCTCTGTTCGGGTTGGTTCCAAATGGTGGGATCACAAACCGGTGCAGGTGGTTGTCTTAGTTTTTCCTGCAAAACAACATTCAATTGCCAATAGATTCCATGATGGGTGCCTGTTCAAGAATTGATTGACGCAAATACTTCGCGCCACGGACACCTGGTGCCCGGGCGTTCATCAAATCTAGTTCATCATAGATGCTTCGGCCAGCAAAAAAAACATGGGAAAAACCAGTGTTTAGTGGCATCGCAATCATGAGTTCGCCAAGTGCTTGCGCAGTACTTTTCCGGTATTTGTTTCTTAAAAATTACCGGACAAGAAGTTGTTTTTGGCTGTCGTTGTCTTCTGCCAAACTTCAAGTTGATCGTCTGAAACCTTGAAACACATGGCCTGCGCGATGTTTTCAACACTTTCAAGTTCTGCCTTCCTTAAGTTGCAGTGGCTGAGGCGTTGAAAGTGCTTCAGTGGCTGAGGCGATGAAGAAATGCTAACATGAGCCATGAGCATATTGTCAACCGTTTGCTTATTACCCCTCCCCCCCCAAAAAACAAAACCCGACCCCCCCCCCCAAACAAAACCCGAACCCCCCCCCCCAAGAACAGAGTGAAAGTCCCGGGCACCAGGTGTCTACAGCGCGAAATAATTATTACATATTTATGTATATATAATCATATTCTGTATGCATATGTATCATATAATCATATAATACATATCTTTCAATACACGTACACGCAGTTTGCTTGGTTTTGTTGAGTTTTTTTGGGCGTGTGGCAAACCAATAGAAAACCAAGGCAACCAAACAAAACATGAAAATAACAAAACAAAACAACACACACACACACACACACACACACACACACACACACACACACACACACACACACACACACACACACACACACACACACACACACAGACACACACATACAGACACACACACACACACCCACGCACGCACGCACGCACGCACGCACGCACGCACGCACGCACGCACGCACGCACGCACGCACGCACGCACGCACCCACACACACACACACACATCACACACATCATACACACACACAAGCAGCAACACAAACAAAAACAACAAACAAAATGCAACACACAACAAAACAACCTTTAAAACCAAAAAAAACTCCCCTGAAGACAGACAGTTCATAGATTTGTTGTGTTTTTGTTTGCTTTCTCGAGGTTTGCTTTGTTTCGATATACTTCATAATCCAGGAGTGTGCAGTTCCTTCCTATTTCGCCAAATCGGAGATGTGATGTGGTGCAAAGAGTACACACATGCACACACTTAGGGGCCCCCTGTTCTAGCAAGAGACACCTGGAACCACCCCTTGAACAAGCCGCACTATGCCCTATGGCCTTAGTGAGCCGTACTAGCTGGAAAGGGGCCTTATGGCAGCTGTTTGCACGTTTCATGTGCATGTACCGGTGCCCGGGGCGGATCATCGCGTGCGTTCATGGATATTTTGCCTGTTCGGACGCAATGCGACGAGCGAGCATGAAACTTTCATGGCATGTATAGACATTATGCCTTGCGCCTTTCCTATCCAATTCAGTAGATGCTGCAAGGCAAAAGTTCAGGGCCGCCCTTGATGGGATTGGTTATGGAAATCAAGTGACACCGTGATTCTCCCGTTTAACGACAAAACTGTATGGTGCTTTCGGGCAAAAAGGTTGCACTGGTATATGCCTTCTACCAAACTCAAACTAGCGCCATTGATCTTCAGCTAAACTGACCCATGCAGGACATATGGCCATGGGTCAAAATCCAGTACCCCCCAGTGAACATCCCAATCCCCACTAAAATTGACTAAAATGGGTGGTGCACCTACCCCAAAATGGTACCATTGGTTTTGACCCACAGCCATATATGCTGCGGTGAACCCTTTCTATATGAGGCTGAGACTCGCCTTGCGAAGGGTTTGGCGAGCTCACCCCCGCAAAGGCTGCAGCGCTCTGCTGCAGAATCGTCGCAAAGGAGCGTGCCTCGCTTGCACAGATACGTTTTGGACCTGGGCGGAATCTTGCTGGTGCTCAGCTTTAAGGGAATCCCTGGGTTCATTCCCACATTCCCTACTGAGCACCGGCAAGGAATTTGGACAGCACTTTCTTCAAAAGAGGACCCAATGGCAAAAAACAATCTGAAATGTTTGGAGGGGTTAGTTTCCTTAGTTGGAGGCCACAGCAATTCAGTCACGAGCTAGACTCAATCTGAGACATCCAAGGCCGTGGCATTGCAAACATGCGCGGGCCATTACAGGTGGCAGCTTTTTTTATGGCAACTGCTGGCTTCTGAGCCAGTCTGAGTATACAGCTCGAGTTTGGTCTGGTTGCGTTGGCAAAGCTCAAAGCGCTTACATTGTCATGTTTCCAGACTCCTTGCCGATCCTAGTCGCCTTTGCACTTTTGGTCTCTTGAGGTGCGAGCGCAAACGCGCAATGGCCACTGATGCTGGCATGAAGAAGCGGTCCTGAACATGATTGAATTGTTCTGTCATGAGGTCAGCGAAACTAATGACCAGAGCCTGCCGGACCCATCTTCTTTCCGGTGGGCTAACATGCTATCCTGACAGCACATGCGTTGTGTGCATGCGAAATCAGATGAGCATCCTCCTTTGCCTCCTCTTTTGCATCTGATCACTGAGGAGGCAGCAAAGGAAACATGCAACTATTGGGAAGCCTGGATACTTTGTGAAGCCCCGATCTTGTTGACCCTCACGCAGGGACCCGATTCCTTGAAACGCAGCATCGTGCTGAGTGTAGATCGTTTGCCTCATGTCGCCCCTGGTCGCCCCGGTTGATTGTCCAACTGGTCGCACCTCTCCGCTGCCGCAGGCCTACCAGAGTGCTCCCCAAAGTGTCCATAAGAGTCTGTCGTGTTTGAGAGCAGCCACTTTGGGGCTCGGTTTAGAAGAGATTCCACAGGAACACCGTCCACTTTGAGGTGGGTGTTTCTCAAAATAGGAATCGCCCAACCCCCCCCCCCCCCACAAAAAAAAGTAGTTTTCTGGTTGGTTCCCTCTAAGCACAGACGGGGTCCACCATTCTGAGAACCCCCCAGATGTCTGTCCAAGAATGGATCCTTTTGGCTGGGTAAATACAGGGAACCCCAAAAGGAAATTGCCCGTTTGTTTGTGGCCGTCTATTTGTAGACACACTCACGTGACTCCTGTACACATAATATGTACGCAGTCAGCAAAGGATTCAGCCCATTTCAGTTGCACCACAACATCCTCCCAGGCATAGCCAAGCAGGGATGCTTTACTTGCAGTGCGGCACTGTCGTGCACCCGCGCTTTAGCATCTTGAGGAGCTTCTGAGAAAAGTGTGATACTAACCACGGTGCGCCTCTGCGTAATTGGCCTCTTTTGTACCTTTGCCTAAGTCATTAATTCGCCGTAATTTGGGACCTGTTCGCCATGCGACCGCTCGCCTTGCCTGCAGTGTGACCATGATGAGATTGCGTGATCATACCGCGCAGTTTGTGAATGCATGTCTTTGCCTAGTGTACCTCTCACCTGTCACACTTGAAGGAATCGTGTGTAGCCCTTTTGGCAAATGTGACTACATGCCTTGCTTGAAGTGTGGAACTGCCGTGCTCCTGGACTTACCCATGTACCCTTGCCTAAGTCATAACTTCAGAGTATTTTGGGCAATTATTTTTATTCGCCAAGCGACCGCTTGCCTTACCTGCGGTTTGACCATGACGAGACTGAGTGAACATGCCGCGCATTGGAGTCTCGTGATAATGTGTACGTTGCACCTGTGACACTTGAGGAAAATTGTGCAGGTTTCGCCAAGTGAATGCATGCCTTGCTTGAAGTGTGGTACTGCCGAGCACCTGTGCTTTTGTCTCTTGAGCTTATGTGCAAAGTGTGCTTGCCTTTCAGGTCATCTACTTTTCAGGTTTGACCGCCTTGATGGGCCTGGGCTTTGCGCTCATGGTCTCACAAAGACTACTAGCATAGCCAAGCAGCAAACTGCTTACATGAAAGCTCCCCAAGACTCCGCGTTTACATACCCACCACAAGGTACAGACTGAAACGCTCGAACAGCACATGAGCCACAGTGCCAAGTCATAAGATTGGCCCGTACAACAGTTGAATGTGGCACAGTGACCCTGGCAGACAAGGCATCGGGACGATGGGTGACGATTTTCAGTGAAAAATGCGGCAAAGACAGACAGGGAACACGGAACCACTGGGGCGCATCTCGCCTTCCTTCACTCGCGCCTCCAGCTCTCGACACCCAAAGAAGCGGCTCTGCATGGGGCGCACAAAGAGTTGGATGGAGAGATGTCTCTCATCAGGGCTTTGTATGCTCGGTTGCTTTCTGCTCCCCTGCTAAAAGTTTAACTTTTAGTGATTTAATCGAAAACCATGCAAAATGCACCAAAGTATGGGTGTGGTTGGTGTGCAGGACACTCCATATCAAGTGAGGGCTCCTGCTCTCCATGTATTTGGGGCAGGTGGTAGGGAAGTTCCTCGAAGGTGTGACAGCTGTGATTCAGATCACTACAGTAGAGCCCAGCATTACTTGTGTTTCTCCCTCTCTCTCTCTCTCGCTTTCTCTTTCTCTCTTGCTCCCTCATAACCAAGGCCAACAAAAACATGTTTTTTGTCCCGTCCCCACCACCAGTGCCCAGGCAGTCCGAAGGAACCGGTATTGACCTCAAAAATAAAGCACAATAGCTTCCATGCTAATTTGCCACCGCACTACTCCACTTGCCACCAACCCACACCGACGCCCAACTTCCAAGAACCTTTTGCGCCAGCCTTATCCCAGCATGCATTTGGTAAACCAGCCAAACCTCGAAAAACAGCAAGGAGTCGATGGCATCACTTTATGCTGCCAAAACACGAAACACTTCAAAACAAATTACATTCCTCCCGTTGCATAGAATTCCAGTCTGGCTAGCAGTGACTAATGCTTTCAGGCAAGCCATCTAAGAGATAGCTCAGAGGCGACTGAGCTTCTATGCCCGCGCCTAGGCGGGAACATAACGCCAGGCCGAGTTGCTGTGAGCTTCCACAATGACGCTTGTTGAGTGCGAAGGTACACATTTAGTCTGGAGCGCACCTTGGCGGGCCCGTTTTATTGACATACTCAGACATGTTGCCTCTGTTGAGGCTCATTTCTCTCAACCGTCATCTACAACCCACTCATCTCTGCGCCTGGAGAATACTAGCTCACGTTGCTCCACATCCCACTCGCATCCCTTCAACAAGCTGTCCCTGCCACGCTACATGAGTCGATGCGATGGAAACTGGGAGCAGTGCGCTGGAAGAGAGCCCCATAAGGACGAAATTTCATGCATCAGTCTTTCAAGCAGGAAGCATCCTGCCGCTAGACTGCACTTATACTGCATCTCTGCGACGGGACCCACGTGGGTTTGTCTCCAGATGGGGGGAACCTCAAAACCAGGTGGCTTCTCTTCGGCGGTTTGCCACAAAAAAAGCCGCCCGAAAAGGACTTTGCCCCCCAAAAAAGGACACACCCACGTCAGAAGCTGCGTAGAACCTCCAATTCGTCTCACGTCTATTCTCTCTCAGTGCTCAGTAGCCTTGCAGCTGCGTATCCGATGAAGCTGCGTATCCGATGAAAATTGCTTGGCCCATTGGCTTCGGAAAGAGCTTGAGCACTACCGCAATAAACATGGAAGCACAAATCACGATTCTGACAGTCGAAAGGGAGCCTGTGCATCGAAACATGTGCTGCACGCAAGTGTGCTGCAAGAAAACAAGTGCCGAACTGCGCTCATACAGAAAGCAACCACATATCACTCAAAAGAGCTATGCCGGGCTGCAAACAACTGGACACGCGGGACTGCCCTACATGTTCCAAGTAGCTGACGGCACAGCACTCGTTCAGCAAGGGGGGGGAACACCACATTGCACACTGCCACATCAAGGTCAGGCAGGCCAACTGACATCAAGAGGTCACAGCCAGGATAGGGCCAAATTAAATTCGCTTTGTATGAGGATTGCCAAACCATCATGATGGTTTAAACATGCTTCCCTGGGTTCGGTTTGGAGCACCCCGCCAGTTGCTCACTGACCCTGGTAGAAAAAGAGAACCCGGTTTGGGGCAAACCCCCTTCAGCGGGGAACCCACCAAACAAAAGGGATGCAGTGATCACTGAAATTCCTGTCTCCCATGCCCAAAATTGGCTCATACCGTGGCTTATAGCTGGACCCTTTTGGTGGATGTCAGATATACATGGAGATTTGAGTCGTCTCCTTATCCCTTTCCAACCATTGGGGATCTTCCAACCAGTCAAATAATTACAACTGGAAAGAAGTATTCCCCAAGTAAGGCACCTTTGGTTTTCGCTCGATTCCCCCCGCATCGAAGAGCTCGAGCACCAATCTGGGGCGCCAAGCCGCCGGACCTCGCAACAAGCTCCGCTTTCATAGGAAGTGTCGAAGGGGGATGCGAAAGTCATGTTCACACGTTACGCCAATGATCATGACGTGATTTCGTGTCACCCCGCAAGCCCATGCTAATTGGTTGGGCCCTTATAGTACCTGGAAGACCAATTTCCTCAAAGGACCTCCTGTCCAGTTCCATAGTGGGAGAAACTGCACTAGTGGGGCACCCCCAAAACAGTCACTCAAGCTGGCGTCAAATGTTGCAGTTGTGTTCCTTTCCCCCCCCCCCAGCGTTCCGTATCCCATACATGAAACAACCCCCGATCCGCTGAAAACCGCTGGCCGCTAGGCGCGCGGCCAGCCAGCAGCTCTGAAGCCCTGCAGAACGAAGAAGGGCGCCGAAGCCCCACTGTTTTGGGGCGTCAATTCCCTACTGTGGATGGTTTAGGTGGTGCAGGATTTTGTCCATCCACAGTTTTTTGACGCATACCCGTAAGTCTGGTGCAATTTGGTGCATGGAGCGCCAGCAGGGCCGAACAAAGTCAACTATGAATCTGCAGTCACCTCTGGTGGACATCAGAAGCTTCTGGGAGGTATGTCTTTTCCCAGCAATGGTGGCAGATCCCCATATCAAAGCCACATCACTGCAGTATTGGCCTTCGCATCATTGGCGTACAGCTGGGATGCCGGAATGCACGAGTTTAAAAGCAAAATGCGACCGTTTCCAGTTTACACTTTTAGGTTGCCACAACAAAAGCCTACCCCACAAAATAGGCACATGATTGCGAACAAACATAACGTCAGAACAAATGTGCGTGTGTACCCAACTGTGGTGCTTGTAGAACAAACACTAACTCGGCAAACCACAGTAGGATGTCAAATGTGGGTGTCTTTGTTGACGCTACCCTGTTTCC